CCGGAATATGAGTGTGTGACTTGTTAGAATTGACCCTATAGATAGTACAGAGAAGGGGTCTGGCATCTTTATCAAGATGGTTTTACTTCGTCGGATATTCATTCGAGTATCTGGAGCACGAAATAGATCAAATAGATCACAAAGTTTTCGAACTATGATTCATACTTAATACTTAGACCTCGTAGCCGGACTTCTTTCCGTTCTATCTTATTATTTTCATAAATCAAACTTTTTTTTCTGCTTTTAAACTCTTATTTAGATCAAAGGACAAGCGCTTCTTTGTATTTTATGTTTTTAATCATTATAGCTCTTTTTTTATTGAATAAGTGATGATCCAATGGTTCTCACTCAGTGAACTTTAGACTTTTAAGGTTTCATTGAATTATCGTGGTTCTCGTATGAATCTGAGGTTTCAATTAATAAGTAGGGTTCTCGTATGAATCTGAGGTTTCTCAGTAAACATTACAAATTGAATTAGAATGTAAAGTTAAATTCTTTGACATTGATCAGTGTAAATGCCCAATTCGCCTCGCCTGTTGATGTTTTCATTCCAGTTTCAGTCTATTCAATCATTAAAGCTTTATGGTGTTGTCGTATAAGTTATTTGAATGGTCATTTATTTTAAACAACTGAATGTTTAAAGAGCTAAATATAAAACCAATAATACACAACCAATGGAAAAAGGCATTGTCGATGGTCAAATTAACAAACTCAAAACAATAGCATGATCAAAGATATTTTATCAAACAGGCTTCACTGCACAACGCAAGAAAACATACGATTCAGGAACGGTAAGCACAACACTAGCCCACTCAACCTTTCCCCAAACTTCCTCATCGTTGTTGCGCCTTTCAAGCGCAACAACCGCACACCAAATGTTCTTGTTTTGCCGACGAGGCGGCGCAAACTTTCCCCACAAGATCAATAGTTTCCCACCGTAGTTAGCTATTTCAACAAAACAACAACGACGATTCGCATTCAATGTTGCCAAACCCTTAACAGTTTTCCATTCATTATGCTTTGCGTCATACCACATGCAACTTTGTCTACTACAATTATAACGTACATTATCTATCTCACACTCACTTTCAATCACAAATTCCTTTGTTGGAACATCCCATTTACCTTCTTTCGGATCATAAACACATTCCATCTCATCAATGCTCTTAACGTAAATCTTCCCTAGTTTCACCTCCACTTTCTTAACTAAAGATCCACGTAGCTCAGCTCCAGGGTCAGGTAATGGTTCCCAAGTTTGATTCCTCGGATCAAAAACCTCACCCCAATACGTGGATTCATCAGCAACACAACCTCCAAACACATAAATTTTACCATCAAATACGCACGCAACGGCATTGGCTCTAGCTACCGTCATGCTAGGGGCTTGACGCCACGAGTAATTACTCGTACAACGGACCCACATGACGGAGGAGGGAGTAATATTGTATTTGCTGATAGCGTATAACTCTGAACCAATCGCACATGTGAACATTGGTACACGTGGAGAATAGGACGAGGGTATTGGTACCAACAAAGTGTTTCCGCTAGTGATCTGTTTCTTCTTTTACCGATGTTGTTGGTTAGGGTTTGGTTAGGTTTTAACCAGAGACTATACCACGAGGGACGGGTTTTATCAGGCAACTGTAAGCAGACGTGAAGGACGTTTTCATGAGTTCCAAGTTCCAATCTAGCCACGTAGAGCTCCATGGATAAGAGCAGAGAGCAGAAGCAGAGAGCAGAAGGTCTTGCATACTAGGGAGAGTTCTGGATAGAACGATTTCGGGATTTGAGCTAGACAGTGTACAACTATTTCTTCAGGAAGTGACAATAATGACGGAGGAGATGGATTCTTCTTCTGTAGTTGTTCGACATGGGAACTCATAGCGGCTGAGATTGTAACAAAAGTAAGATGAAGTTTTGTAGATTATGGTGAAACACGAAATAATATATAGTGATCTTGTTTAAAATACCTTTTCGCCTTATTAAGAACAAGCCAGCCTCGAGATGGAGATTTTCTTTGCCTTGTTTCTGCTGTAGACTTCATTGTTAAGAAAAGAGACGATTAGGTCTTTTATAAAATCTGCATTCACAGTTGTATATATACCTTTTGTTTAACCTAATTGAAGACTGACCCCTTGACTTAATAAAAATTCTAAAAGTCCCGTTTGTAATATTATAGTCAAAGTTTACAAGAAGGTTTCACACAAGGCCTGTTCTTGGGCTCTGGAAACTCATATATAACTTAGCAGGGAGAAGAAATGCCGCAAAGCAATGCTGAAACTTGGGATGGAAACCTGTCACTGATGTCACCAGAGTCACAATCAAGAGATCAAAGAATGTAAGAACAAGCCTTTATTCTCATCAGTCAAATCTTTTGTGAATACTAATGTTTATGTTCTTTGCATTTCCATCAGGTTCTGTTTGTCTGATTCTCATCAGGTTTTGATATTGGGCAGAATGATCTTTCTGTCGGGTTTAGGACAATGAGCGTCGATCAACTCAAGGCTACAATACCAGATATTGTCAACGAGGGGAGACTAGTTCCTGCAACTGATGAAGAAATAATGTTGGAGGTTAAGGACTTGGTTGAGAACAACGAGGATGATATGCCTATTGTAGCGGATCCTGAACAGACTGAGGAGAGCATTTCCGATGTAGGTTCGGTCACAATCATTCTTATACATGTTGAGAGTCATTCCTGTTGAGCTTTTTTTGTGACTTCATGGATTCAGATCTTACTCCACTCCACCTTTGAAACTTTTAAGAGGAGTTGGTGTTTGGATCTCAGATGCTTGTTACTCTTCCGGATACCAACTATCTAAGCTTCAATGAATTGCCTTGGAATGAGGAGTTTGTCCAATCCGATTTTTTTTTTTGCTGCAGGAACCTATTTGTTTTTCATCAAATGGATGTAGTATACATTTTTAACATCCAAGAATTTGCTAAGAGACAATATAAGTATCTACCAATAATTTACACATTTACTCATGTCTCTCTCTTAATCTTCAAATATTTTAAAAAATATGCTAAGAGACTTAATTTTTGTCCCAGCAATAATGTTGCTCTTAATCAACTGAAAAACAGATTCTTGTGGTTCTTCTAGTTTCGCACCAAAGAAACTCTGTGCGTCTAGATAAGTTTGATTATCGGTTAAATAATCTACATGTGATCCAAATTTGAAATGAATTTTTGTTTGTTTGATATGTTGGAAATTAGTCTATGTTGGTTAAAGATAGAGACAATTTCCGACACTAATTAACATCATTTTAATCAATGATTTAGCAAAGCCACTCAAAGTTTCACAGAGTTAACCACATGAACGTTCATAAAAGCTGATCTTGACTATCAAAGCACAAAATCACACAATCTCTCGGCAAACTTCATCATCATTGCGTTTTCTAAGTGTACTCACCGCAAGCCAACTACATGCGTATCGACGACCCACAAGAATATTTAAAAGTGTCCCATGGTATGTAGCTATATCAAAATCACATTACCACGGAAATTTTCTATACCCTAATGGTGTCATACATGCTTCACCAAAAAAATCACGTGCGGTTTTTATGCATTAGTATTCTGTTTATTTTTCTTTCTCGGATCATAAACATAATCCATCTTCTCGTTGTTACAGGTAAACCTTACGTACATTGGATATAACCTCTATTGTTTAATAAAGGCTAGGCAAAGCCACCAATAAATTATATAACCAATGTTTAAAGAAATAAATCTATAAGCCATTGTCGATAGTATATATAAAAATAGATACAATTGATCAAGTTCGTATAACGCAAGAACGCAAGAAACCGTATGAACTTGGAACCGTAAGCACACCATTAGACCATTCAACCTTTCCCCAAACTTGACCATGTCGGCGCTTTTCAAGCGCAATCAAAGCACAACAAATAGTCTTTTCTTCATAATGCACAAACTTGTCCCACAAGATTAAAAGCTTCCCACAGTATTGAACTGTTTCAATCCAACCACGACGACAACTTTTATTGAATGAAGACAACCCCTTGACATGTTTCCACTCGTTACACTCTGTGTCATACCACATGCAACATCCCCTACGACAAGAGTAATATATATTACCTACCATACACCTACTGTCTCCGTCGATTATTTTTTCTATAGCTTCCCACTTGCGCGTTTTCGGATCATAGACAGAGTCTTTCTCCTCGTTACTAGTAACGTAAAGCTTCCCTCCGATAATCTCTATTTTTCTAATCACTGAAGAGAACCGAAGCTCGTCTCCAGGGTCAGGTAAAGGCTCCCATGTTCGAGTCTTTGTATCGAAAACCTCACCCCAGCTTTTCGCCGCGGCCTTACAACCTCCCAATACGTATATCTTCCCGTCGAGCACGCATGCAGCGGGGTTCACTCGAGATACATCCATGTTGGGGCCTTTACGCCATAGACAATTCTCTTTGTTGCGGACTAACATGACTGGAGACGGAGGATACCGTTGTCTGAGTGCATATATATCTGAATCCACCCTACGGACTAACAATGGTTCTTGAGAAGCATAGGAAGAAGAAGGTACTTGTACCAGTGTAGCTTTTTTCTTCTCGATATCATCATCAGGTTGTATCCAGAGGGTGAACCATGAGGGAAGAGGACGGTCGGGAAGGTGCAAACATATAGAAAACAACTCTTCTTGTGTTTTGTGGTGAAACCGTGCGTGGCTGAGCTCGATGGATAAGATGAGAGAGCGAAAGGTCTTGGAAACTAGGGAGAGTTTAGGGTAGTAAGACCTCGATACGCGAGCTAAGCAGTGGAGAATGATTACATCTGGAAGCGACAAAAACGACGGTGGAGATGGATTCGTTTTCCTCTTTTTCCACGGTGGTTCGACTACCCCAGAGGTGGCGGCTTGCATCGAAGCGTCTATCATTAGGGTAAACACACGATTAGGTTAACAACTTATAAGTGTATAATGATTACCTTGTTTTATATATTGAAAACTCACCTACCCCTTGATTTTGTTTAATATCTACTTGAGCCGCTTTAGAAAACTAAAACACCAGTGTTTTTAAAAACGGTTTATGCAGCTATGCGCCCGCCTAGTGGCAAATCAAGTTAAATCAAGTTTAAAAACGGAAATTTTTTGTGATTAAAAATTTATATAATTGAGTTTTGTCTTAATTTAAAGAATATTTTGATATAAAATCAGTTCATCAAAATTTTTGGTGATGATTGTTTTTCATTAGTTTTTAGTTTCACTTTTTTTCTTTTTAGATTTTGGTTTTTAGTTTTTAAGTTTCTACTTTTCATTTTCAGTTTTTAGTTTGGGTTTTTAATTTTTAAACTCGCTGGGTTAGTTTAAACTGATATTACCAACAAACAAATCTCAAATAATCGAACATCTAATTTAAAACTGAAAAGATGACAACACATTTAAATAAAAAAATTTGAAATAGTTTATTTTGTAAATAAACAAAGCAAAAATAATATAACATGTGTTTTCAGCTTTTGGTTTTGGATTTTAGTTTTTAGATTTGGTTTTTGGTTTTGCTTTACATTTTTTTTAATCAGTAAATTATTTAAGAAAAATAAAACAATAAATTATTTAAAAGTTACAATTGAAATTTATCAAAACAAAGTGATTGTTATTTAAAATAAAAAAATATTAACATGTTTTAAAGTACATGATTTAAATAAATGATTAATGATAGATAATTTTGTTTTGTTAAAAATATTAAATACCTTTTGGGTCTGAAAATAATAATTGATTTTTTGATCTTTTAAGGTGAAAAGTTTATTCAATGTTTTTTGCAGTTTTTTCTTAATACTAAGCCCAAAAACCAAATTATATAATTTGTTTAAAAAATAAAAGTAAGCTCAAGACTATATTACATAAATAACCACTGGTTTATTTAAGTATAATTAGTAGATTTCCATATTCTATATTTTGATAATATATATTATTTTAGAACATTCCATATTTGTAGGAGAAAATATGTGTTTTTGGTATACATATAGATATCTGTCGTATTTTGAAAGTATTTTACATTAAGGTCGTTTTTTACATTAATTTTGTTGGTTTAATTTAAGTAATACGGTTCAATCAATTATATGACTTATATTATTTGTAACATTCTAGAAAGGGTCCAAATTTAAATGACAACTTGTATCAGTAGATAAAAAGAATGACTCTATTTTAATAGAGTAGATGACTTTTAGATGGTTTTTTTTTTTTCAAAAATCTGTCTAAGTGGTCAAAAAATAGTTCTAGATACAAGCCTAAACAATAATTATCCTCTATAAAAAACATCTAACCACGGCCTAGCGATTTTCATAATATTGTAAAACACAAAGATAACCCAATATATAGTGTTTAGAAAAAAAATATTTCCTGTGACCAGGTTTTTTTAAAAAAATTTTGGTTTGGTTGAGACTTGAGAGTATCAAATGTTAGATTTTTATTTTTGTTAGTAAAGTTCTCTATCTATTATTTCATGTAAGTTATGCAAATTAGAGTTTGATCAGGACTAAGTCTTTTGAAAACCAGCATATAATTCTCTTTATTAAAATTTCAGTATTGAAGATTAACACCCTTGACTTAATCTAAATACCTAGTCGATTCTGTTTACAGAAAACTAGAAATATTTAAGTGAAAGACACCCCGTCAGATCGTAGACATAAATGTGATGTATTTAATATAAAAACACAATTTTAACCATATTTTAACCAATAGAAAAATAAATTGCATAATAATATTAATAAATTTTGTATTGAAAATCGATACTTATTTTGAAACGAAAAAAAATTCTCTTGTGACATTTAACATGAAACGGAGGGAATAATATTTTTTTTTGAATGAATGTAAAATTGAATTCAAACAAAACCATATTACATCTAGTGCATCTGTTTTTAAGAGGCTACAAAACCCAAAATATTTCAAAGACAAAATCAAAACAAAACTAATCACTAATCACTAACACCCCCACAAGTTTAACCATATGAAACAAGTCAAAAGTTTGGAAGAACCATGAATTTCTCCTCATTAAAACCCCATCAATGAAAAATCCAATTGGGACAAAACATTGAGTGAGGAAAAAGAATAAGAAACTCATGGTTAGGAAACATTGAGTGAAGAAAAAGAGTAAGAAACTCATGGTTAGCAATCCACATCAGGAAATCATATTTCGGTGTACACTAAGTAAACCACACTCCCTTACTCCATGAACAGTTTGCCTTAGTTTCCCGAAACTGTTCCCAAGTCTTTTTAGTTAAGAAAGACCCTGGAAATTTTCCATCAGCTTGCTTCCATAATACTACATCCTCCTTCTGTTAATCACCAATCTTCCTCAACTCCCCTTCAATATTATTCAGCAGTTCAACTCTATGATTTCTCCTTCTACGCTTATGCAAAGCTTCTTCTACAGTAGCATTCTCAGACACTCCGAGATCAATAAACCCTTTCTCACCCAAAATATCTTTAAGAGTTCCAGCAAGACCACACATCATACCAAAAAGAAGTATTCTTCCCATTCCTAACCTCCTTCTTGAGATTTTTTTTTGCAAGACTTCGAAGTTTTAAGAGTTTCCTCCAAACCCAAGATCCAGAACTTGTATTCTCTTTAAGTGACCAGAAGGAACTCTTGCGAATCAAATAACAATGAATCCAACTGACCCATAAAGAAGAATGAGAACACAGCCGCCACATAAGTTTAAGACAATGCACAGTATTGATAACTTTTAAAGACCTGAGACCCAAACCCCCTTCACATTGAGGAAAGCACACATCCGTCCAACTAACTTTAGCTTTCGAAGTCTTGAGCTCAGGACCTGACCAGAGGAAAGCAGAACATAACCTTTCAATTTCTTTTAAACAGCTTCATGGTAATTTAAATGCTGCCATCCAGAAGTTTGCTAGACTTATGATAACAGATTTAAGGAGTTGCAGTCTACCAGTGTGAGATAGCAGTCTCCCTGTCCAAGAACTCATTCTTTTCCTGATTTTCTCAACCAGGGGTAAATAGTCATTCACACTCATGCGCTTGGTAAGGAGAGGTAATCCCAGGTAGCGAATTGGTAACTTTCCTGAAGAAAAAGGAAAGGTAGTGAGAAATCCTGTTCATACACTTCAGAGATTCTGCAGTGTAAAGCGTAGATTTTTCAAGACTTATCTTCAGACCAGAACAAGCTTCAAATTCCGCAAAATTTTAGACGGAGGAGTAGACATGATCCCTGCGAATCATGCATTTGACGATGAATGGGGTCACTTAACTTTAATATTATGGGACTACTCTTTAATAGCTCAAGATTTATAATGATACATGCCTCTAGTTAAAAATGCTCCTGTATCCGCCGCTATCTACATTACATAGTTCTGAATCTCTAGGATTGGATAAGGAAGAGGAGAAAAGTTGATGATGAGACGGAAAGACATACAAAGAATGATTACATAAATGGGGTGAATGTGAGGAAACTTGAGAGGATGATGAGAGAGATACAGTAGGTTATGGGAAGGTGCCACATAGAAGAAGGATTTACGGGGCTTGACTTTATATTGATGGTGGTTGTGATTTTGGTGGAGGAGGTCAAAGAAGGCTATGATGCCTCGATCAGAAAAATGTGAGAAAGGAATGTATTAGGGATTTGCATTGAGGGTAGTGGTACCAACAAAGTATTATCGCTAGAGTTCTACTTCTTCTTCGAGATGTTGTTGGTTAGGGTTTGATCAGGTTTTAGTTTTGTAAACCGGATCGACCAGATAATTAAACAAAAACCAGGGGGTTAGTTTTCAATAACAAAAACAAAAGGTATTTATAAGGGAACTTAATCGTGTTATTTTGGAAAGACCTAATCGTGAGTTTACACTAATGTTATACTCTTGGATTCAAGCTGCCGCATCTGCGGCTACAAATCTCATACTCGAACCACCGTGGAAAAAAAGGAAACCGAATCCACCCCAACCCCCACTGTCGTTTTTGTCGCTTCCAGATGTAATCATTCTCCACTGCTTAGCCCGCGTGTCCAAGTCCTACTACCCTAAACTCTCCCTAGTCTCCAAAACCTTTCACTCTCTCATCTTATCTATTGAGCTCGAGCACGCACGCTTTCACCACAAAACACAAGAAGTCTCCTTTCATATATGTTTACAGCTTCCTGATCCTGACCGTCCTATTCCTATTCCAACATGGTTCACCCTCTGGATAAAACCTGATGATGATGATGAGGAGGAGGAGGAGGAGGAGAAGAAGAGATCTATCTTTGTACAAGTGCCATCTTCTTATGAATCTCAAGAACCATTGTTCGGCTGTACGGTTGGTTCGGATGTATATGCACTCAGTCAAAGCTATCCTCCGTCTCCCTCAATGTTAGTCCGCGACAAGAAGAGTATTGTATGGCGTGACGTCCCCGACATGATTGTACCTCGAGCGTATCCTCTTGCGTGCGAACTCGATGGGAAGATATATGTAATGGGAGGTTGGAATGCTAATAAAACCGAAAATCTATCATGTTGGGGTGAGGTATTCGATATAAATACTCAAACATGGGAACCTTTACCTAACCCTAAGGCTGAGCTCCGGTTCTCTACGATGATTAGAGATATAGATATTTTCGAAGGAAAGATATACGTTACGAGCAACGATGAGAACGATTCTGTTTATGATCCAAAAAAACGTAAGTGGGACGTTGCGGAAAAAGAAGTCGAGGGTGATAGTAGGTGTAAGGTAGGTGATTTATATTACTCTTGTCGTAGGAAAAGTTGCATGTGGTATGACACAGAGTGTGACGAGTGGAAACCGGTCAAGGGGTTGTCTTCATTGAATAAGAGCTGTCGACGTGGTTTGATTGAAACAGTTGATTACGGTGGGAAACTCCTAATCATGTGGGACAAGTTTGCACTGCCTCGTCGTAATCAAGAAAAGAAAATTTGTTGTGCTTTGGTTGCGTTAGAAAAGAGAAAAGATGGTCAAGTTTGGGGAACGGTTGAGTGGTCTAATGTTGTGCTTACGGTTCCCAGTTCATACGTTTACTTGCGTTGTTTAGTGGATCGCATTTAGAGTCATTTATAAAAACATTGTTTAGAATCTTTAGCAGCACCAACTAGCTAGTCATATTGATCTTTTTTTTTTTTAAACACATTGATCTATCACCTATTCTTGGGTGGCTTTGCTTAATACCGTTTTAAATTAGTTTGGTGTTACACTATGCCACTTGTTTTTTTTGTCTTTGCTTGGTGCTGACTTTAACTAGAGCACTCTTTAGTTTATTCCTTTTTTCGGAAAAAGAAGAATTTTAACGCAAGAAAAAAAAAGGAATTGTTTTCATCTCTTACCTTGGGGGTTTTTTTTTTCTGAACAAATAGTATTTTCTACGAACAGTTTTTAAAATCATATGTTATTCTAAATTTCTATGTGAAGAGTATCAATGTATACTAGATATTGATCCACGTATCTGCACGGATGTTTTTTTCAGTTTACAATGTTTTATATTCATTATAGTTGATGTAATTATAATATTGTTAGTAATATATTTTAAGGTGATCTGAAAAAATAAAATATGAATTATATTAGTTATTTATATTTAACTTAGGACCCATTAGAGTCGGTTCAATTGATATGGATTTTCAAATTTTTGATATTATGCTCATAAGTCTCATTCGGGTTTAATTAATTATTGGGTTGGATTCGGTTTGGTTCCTTCTAGATTTGGTTTATATCGGATTATAACCAATGTATAAAATCACAAAAAATATATTTTGAAAATTTTAAAAATAAACAAAATTATTCAAAATATATATATAAATTATTCACAAATCTAACTAAAAGATAGTGAAACTACTTAAACTACTTAAACTAACTAAAAGTTATTCAAAAAACTTATGAAAATCTTTAAATTATTCTAAAATGTCTTAGCTGTTTTAATATATTTAAAAATCATAACATATTTCACTAATTTCAGATATAGTTAGATCCAAATTTGGATTTCTGTTTAGTTGAATATTTTTGTATAACGATCTAGAACTGATTTTAGTATACTTGGTTCCGGTTAAAGTAGGGCAGTGTGGGATAAAAATGCCAAGGTCTAGCATAGATCTCTAGGACTGTAGCAGAAAGTTGAGAAGCTGATGATGGGATGTGAACACATTCCAAGAATGATTAGAGACAATATCATGGCGTTTCAAAATTAATAATAAAAAAATAAATACTCTTTCTAATTACTAATAAGTGTTATTTTAAGTTTTTTATTTTATTTTGTTTTTTAAAAGGTGTCATGTTACAATTTCAATGTAATTTTGTACATTAAATCTATTTTTTATTCTTTTTAGTAACTAATAGATTTTTGTTTAACTTATTATTATTTAATTAATCATACATTACATAAAAATATATTAGTCTATTATATAATATTTTTAATCTCCGTAAAAATGTCAAAATGACACTTATTTTAAAACAATGAAGTTAGTCCTCGACATTCAAATATTCGGTTCAGTTCTGAGTACCCATTTAATATATAAATCAAATATATATATATAGAATATATTAGTTAATATGCTAATTTAAATGGTCTATTGTTTATACGCTTAAATATTCATCAATCCAACAAGAGTTCGAATCACTAAAGTGTTATTTTTATAAATATTTATCATATTTTAATATAGAAATACCATATATATTTATAACATAATAAATAAAATATAACGTGATCTGGTGGTAAAATGTACTTACTCTTTGTATCTAACCTGAATTCAAGTGGGCTTGATGTCATTTTATCTTATTTTAAAAAAAAATTAACTTGTTATTCAGATATTCGGATACCCGTTCGGTTCTCGGTTCGGTTCCGGTTCAGTTTTTCGAGTATAGAAATATATGAACCATTCAAATATTTAAAAATTTTGGTACAATTTCAATTTCGGATATTTTGGTTCGATTCCAATTCAGTTATTCGGTTTCCATTTTTTTTTGTCCAGGCCTAGATGAAGTATATGGGATTAGCAAATCACTAATTCTCTGTTTATCGAAGCTGGATTTTGTTGTTTAATTATCCAACACTCAAATACCGCAAGTGAGACCCAATCATCTTTGATAATTATAAAAAAGCCCAAAAAGAATAGTAACTAGTCAACCCAAAAAAATAATTAACTCTACACATAAAAAAAAAACACGGAGACGAGCTTGGGCACCAAGAAAAAAACATTAGTAAATTAGTTTTCTTTTAGCTTCTGACCAAGAAAAAGATTCAATTGAAAGGAGAAAGTAGAGATCTTTGTAGACGAATTCGGAAAATGGCTCTAAGCTTTGGATTGATTTGAATAATTTTTCGAAGAAAAAAAAAAATTAAAATGTTTGTTGCTCGGCGTCTTCTTCTTTCCTGCAAACAAAGTGCGAATCAGGCGGCTAGTTTTCTCCGAGGGTTAGTCATATCCTTTCTTAAACCCTAAGGTCTTGTTCTGGGTTTTACTTAGAACGATTGTTACTTCATCTCTGAACAATAAAGCTGCGATTTTTATTGGGTTTTTAGCCAATTGAAGTTTGAAAGTTTCGATTTTTAAATATTATAACGACTTGGTAGCACTGATTCATATTCAATTTTACAAAAAAAAATTAGGTCTGGGTTATCTAGAAGAAGAGTTCAATCATTCAATTACAGTCAATCAACAAGACAGGGGACACATGGAAGGACAGATCTTAAACCTCAGATTCCTGTCGGAACAGCTCAAACTCATTCTCCCTCAAGTGCTCGTTATGCTGCTGTAATAATACTCTTTTTTTTTAAAACATCTTTTTGTTAGCTTTTCACTTGTTTGTTTTGTTGAGTTTTTTTGATCCGATGTTTGGTTAATTATATGCAGCCAGCACTTGCGCTTGGGTTTGCTGGATTCTTAGCCTTTCTTCATTACAACGACGAAAGGAGAGCTGTTCCTAAAGGTATTATAAAGAGGTTTCTTCGTTGGCTTTGATAGAGAGTTTCTAAGTTCTACGTTTTGGCAGGTCAACCAAGCAATAGTAATGGCGGTTGTGGCTGTGGCTCTAATACAACAGTTAGAGGTCCTATTATAGGAGGTCCATTCACGCTTATGAGTACACAGAACAAGGTTGTCACTGAGAAAGACTTGCGTGATAAATGGGTGCTGCTTTACTTTGGATACTCGTTTTCACCTGATGTTGGACCTGAGCAGTTGAAGATGATCTCCAAAGCTGTTGATAAACTAGGTTTGTTCATCAGTTTAGTTATAAAAATGTGATCTTTTTTACTAATGTTGATGTCTTGTCTTTGATTGAAACAGAGGCTAATCATGGCAAGAAGATTCTGCCTGTCTTTGTTACTCTTGACCCTTTGCGAGATACACCTTCTCATCTCAACGCCTACTTGAAAGGTCCGTGTTCCAGCTATTTTCTAAACTCTAAAGACGTTGCATTGCGGCTGCTCATAATTTTTTTTTTTGTTTGTAGAATTTGATGAGAGAATACTTGGATTGACCGGATCAGCAAGTGCAATGAGGCAAATGGCACAAGAGTATCGTGTTTATTTCAAGAAGGTTCAAGAAGATGGGGATGATTACCTAGTTGATACTTCTCACAACATGTAAGGAATCTTTATTCGAATAGTATCCAAATCAAAATCTTGTTTGTTCATAAGAAGAAAAGAGAGCTAAAATGTTCTTTGGGTGTGTAGGTACTTGTTGAATCCGAAGTTGGAGGTTGTGAGATGCTTTGGGGTTGAGTATAATCCAGATGAACTCGCACAAGAGGTTCTTAAAGAAGTTACTTCCGTTTCACAGTGACCCCATTTTGACCAAACACTAAAGAGAGATGTTCACAGAATGAAACACTAAGTTCCTTTTCTCCTCCATTGGTCAAATTTCATTTAGACGATTTTGCTAATACTTTTGGTCAATGATGATCTCTGATAGTTGCAATTGATTCATCTTCCTTGTTTTCAGTGTGGGCTCAAGCAAATGTGCCTTTTTAATTTAGAGATATGATCTTAACATTAGATAGTGAAAACTCAAGATTTAAATATTTATGCATCTTCTTATTCTTGTTCAAAGTGATTCCCCCTACGGCTGTAAGTTCTATAACTGAAAGGCAACATGAGAACCCTTAAGATGGAACGAGTGTGTGGTGCGGAGAAGGACCAACTTCTGTACTAGACCAATCGGTGATCATTTGATCTTGGGTGAAAGAACAACGAGCATCCGAGCAGACATTGTTGTTGTTGTTATCATCATCATCTAGCTCAAGACATAACAAATGAAAATTGCTTTGGGCTCACTTCTCTGGTGCCCCTATCTTTTTAGAGTTAATCTCTTATAGGCTCGGCTCACTTGATCTTTTATACTCCTATTTCATATAAACTGACAGAGTTGCAATGACTCGGCAACCGAAGCTACACATCAAAGATAATTTTTTGTTTATTATTAATTCATCTTAAAGAACATAAGAACAGATCAAACCTTAATAATTAATAAATCTGATTAACAATAACACGCAAACATGTCAAAAGAAAAAAACTTTAATCATTAATCAGTCTTACTGGCGCATGAGAATATGAGACCAAGTCTTTGATCAATGATTTTTGATATCAACCATTAATATAATAACAAAATCTGAGAAACCGAGCATTAAGATTAAAATATTTCATTTTAGCTAAAAGTGTAGCATAAACCCAATATGCATAACGAGTAGAAAGAGATAATAATGAGGTTAAATATGAATTCAAACAAAAGATTTATAAAAGTTATCAGGAATATGCTCTTCACGCTTTGGTTATGATATTTCTGAGATCATACTACTAGACTAATTCTGAGGAGAATTTTGTTTGGAAGAAGATTTCCTAACCAAACAAGGAGAAAAGAAATAGAGAACATCGCTAATATATATTTACCTAGATTTTGAAAGCATATGAATCTATACAACCTATATTTTAGATATCAACTACATTTGTTTACTGTGTCTAATATTTACTGGTAGGGAGATTTTGGATTAACAAAATTTCAAACGTGCAAACAGTTACTTTTCCTACATAGCAAATTTCCTATTTCTTTAACTGAAAAAGAAATGAATTTTTAAGAGATGATTATTTGAGAATTTTTGTCAACGCTCAAATTGTCTCAGCATTGTGCTGGGCTTCCACGAAGCTGTCTTTGCATATAACTGAGTCAACGGGATCATGGGTTCCGTGTTGGTATATAGAAAGAGTTCTTTGTTTGTTATTTCTTCCTCTCCTCACTAAAAATCTCTGCGATCTTGATCCTCTCTTCATCATACTAGTATGGATTCTTCTTTTTCTCCTACCAATGTTGCTGCTGCTGCAATATGCTTATACGCCCTTTTCGGTACAATATTTTTCAATAGGAAATCAAGATCAAATCAAGAAAACACAAAAATGGCTTCTTCGTCCTTAACTCTGGTGTCTCCTCCATCTTCTTTGCCTCGCAATTGGATACACCATGTCTTCCCAAGCTTCCACGGGGCAGATGTCCGCACAAACTTTCTCAGCCACGCTCTCAAGGAGCTCAGAAGCAAAGGAATCAACTCGTTCATTGACAATAATATAGAGAGGAGTAAGTCAATCAGTCCTGAGCTCATAATAGCTATTAACGGATCTAGGATTGCTATTGTCCTGCTCTCAAAGAACTACGCTTCTTCGACATGGTGCTTGAACGAGCTGGTTGAGATCATCAATTGCCGAGAAGAGTTTGATCAAACAGTGATACCCATTTTCTATGAAGTGGATCCAACTGATGTAAAGAAGCAGATAGGTGAATTTGGGAAGGTCTTTAAAAAGACTTGTAAAGGAAAAACAGATGAGGAGATCAAAAGATGGAAAGATGCTTTGACGGAAGTGGGCCAAATCGCAGGTTACCATTCAACAAACGGGTTCGTCCTCTTCTTGATTCCCATTTGCTCATAATCTTTCTAGCACATCAACCTCTATATCTTTGTAGCTTTTAAACAACAGCCATCCTAGATAGAATAAGTGTTGCTTTCTTTCTTTGATCTACAATTATCAGTATGAGAATATCTAAATAGTATGTGTTTTTTTTCGTGACTATATAACTGAGTTATTGATCATCATCTTCTTCAGGAAGACTGAAGTAAAGATGATTGAAGATCTTGCCACTGATGTTTCGGACAAGTTGAACCTTTCCGCACCATGCAGTGATTTTGATGGCTTAGTTGGGATGGAATCTCATATGAAAGAAATGGGACCATTGTTACAGCTAGATTCAGATGAGGTGAGAAGAATAGGGATATGGGGTCCGCCTGGGATTGGTAAGACGACCATTGCTAGATTTCTGTTCAACCGACACTCCCATGAGTTCCAACTGAGTGTTTTTATAGATAACATCAAAAGAAAGTATGTTATAACGGCGTCTTCCGATGACTACAGTGTGAAGTTAGATTTACAGAAGCAGTTTATGTCACGAATAACCAATGAGAAGGATATCAATATTCCACATTTGGGAGTTGCCAAAGACAGGTTGAAAGACATGAAAGTTCTTGTCGTCCTTGATGATGTAGATCATTTAGTACAACTGGAAGCCATGGCAAAAGAAACTTGTTGGTTTGGCCCGGGGAGTCGGATTATAATAACAACACAAGATCAAAGGATATTAAAAGCAAGCGGAATCAACCATATACACAAGGTGGACTTACCATCAAATGATGAGGCTCTTCAAATGTTCTGCATGTATGCTTTTGACCATAATTACACGAATGATGGTCTCAAGGAGGAGATTGCTTGTGAAGTTATGAGTCTCGTGGGTGAACTTCCATTGGGGCTAAAAATTATGGGCTCATATTTTCAGGGAATGTCTAAGCAAGATTGGATAGAGGCACTACCAAGGTTAAAGGCACACCTAAATCGAAATGGAGAAATTGAGAGCATTTTAAAGTTTAGTTATGATGCTTTGAATGATGAAGATAAAAGTTTATTTCTTTATATAGCCTGCTTTTTCAATTATGAAAATGTTGATATTGTGGAAAGTTGTCTAGCAAACTTTTTTTTGGATGTGACACAAGGCCTTCGTGTTTTAGCTGAAAAATCTCTCATCTCCATTAAATATGGATCTATACATATGGCCGAGTTGCTAGTCCAACTTGGAAGAAAAATTGTACGAGAACTATCTGTTGGTGAACCTGGGAAACGCCAGTTTTTGAATGATGCAGTTGATATTGGGGACGTACTGAGTGATGATAAAGCAGTAAGTTTTGTGATTGGTATTTTTATTGCAGTGCTCTCTAAAATGTGATATTATTTAATAACTAACCATCCTCTATTTGTTTTTTCATTGGATTGTTTTACAGGGTAGTTCCCGTGTCATAGGAATAAATCTTGAGTTGGATGAGGAAATAACATGGACAAGTGAAAGAGCCTTTAAAAGATTGTCTAATCTTCAATTCTTAAGAATTTTTGGCCAAGGCGGTAATCCGCAAAGTATGAAATACATATCCCGAAAACTTAGAGTACTTACTTGGCCGGTGATCCAGATGACATGTTTTCCTTCAAGTTTTAATCCAGAGTTCCTAGTCCGACTAGAGATGCCGTATAGCAGTCTAGAGAAATTGTGGAAAGAAAATAAAGTAAGTAATATTTTTTAATTTAAAAATAACTGCCCAAGTTAGGGTATCTAACCAATTTTCTTATGTGTTTAATACTAATTATGTCAACTTGGTTCTTGTGTGCTTCATTTACTTGTCTTTACAGCCGCTCAACAATCTAATGTGGATGGATTTGAGTTGGTCAAAAAGATTGAAAGAGCTTCCTAATCTCTCAACTGCCACTAATCTCCAAGAATTGGATGTCAGCCATTGCTCAAGTCTGGTAGAGCTCCCTTCCTCTATTGGGAATGCAATTAATCTCAGAGAATTGATTCTCACTAACTGCTCAAGTTTGGTGAAGCTCCCTTCCTCTATTGGGAATGCAACTAATCTCCAAGAACTGAATCTCATTCACTGCTCAAGCTTGGTGGAGCTCCCTTCCTCTATGAGAAACCTTGGTAGATTGTCGAGATTGAAATTAGAGGGATGCTCAAAGTTAGAGGTTAATCTGGCCAACATCAACTTGGAATCTCTAGAAGAACTCAATCTCTCAGGTTGCTCTTTGTTGAAAAGTTATCATGAGAGTTCCACAGAGCTTGATCCATGGATCGGGAGAAAATCTCGTCTACTTATCCTTAAACTAAACGAAATGAAGAATCAGGTATCACTCCCTCAGATTCCGGATTCGGTAGAGGAAATAGATGCAAAAGGTTGTGAGTCCCTGGAGAGACTAGATTGCTCCTTTCGCAATCCAAATATTCGTCTCAACTTTGCAAACTGCTTCAAACTAAATCAGGAAGCTAGAGATCTAATCATCCACACGCCAACCAATGGATATGCGGTCTTTCCAGCTGAAGAAATGCCTATGTGCTTCACTCACCGATCTTCTGGTAGTTCCGTAACTGTGAAGTTGAATCAAATGCCTCTTGGCAAATCAACCAAATTTAAGGCTTGCTTCATACTTGCTGGTGGGAAAGATATATATCGGGTATCTGTCAGTTGTTTGATCACGTTTGGAGGGAATTATGAGACTTATCTTTGTCCTAAGAAAATAGAAGCATTTCCTACGCGGCATCTGTTGACATTCGAGGGTGAGGTTGAAACAGGGGATATGGTTTACACCGAGCTTCGATTTGATTTCCACATCGGCCGTTCCAATACGATAAAAGAATGCGGGATACTCCCACTTACTTCCGGAGGTACCTTTATTGAGTTTCCGAGATGACGATGGAGATTTTGAACCTTCAGATAATGAGAGCTTCGGACATTGAGAGGAGTCTTCAAACACAAAGAAGATTAAGCAAATTCCTTAGCATTTTTTTTTTGGCTTTCAACTTCATTACCATTATTTAGTTGTAGTCTCTCCCTTTACGAGAAACCATTGCAGTTAGTGAACATGCCATCATGAACCAAGCCTAACTTCACTCCAGTTGACTTTTCACCATGTTTTTCTTTGTCAAAATCATCAAACATTTTGTTGACCATTTTTTTTTCTTCTAAAATTATGTTGCTTTAATATGCCTAGAAGTCCTGCTTTCAGTCGCAGAGTAACTGCTGGTGAAGCAAAGTGGTGACAGCTTAGCCTCTATCGCAAGGTCTTGATACTTCAATCATTCAGTTACAGTCAATCGACATGACAGAGCAGCCATGGAAGGACAGATCTTAATCCTCGTCTGCCTGTCGGAACTGCTCAAAAATGTGCGGAGCCTTTTTCGAATACCAAATTAAAACCTCGTTTGTTCAAAGGAAAAAAAAGCTAAGATGTTCATAGGTTGGGTGTATAATAAGTACTTGTTGAATCCGAAGATGGAGGTTGTAAGATGCTTTTGGGTTGAGTATAAATTATACTGTATAATCCAGATGAACTCGCAGAAGAGGTTCTTAAAGAAGTTACTTCCCTTTCACAGCGATCCATTTTGACCAAACAATAAAAAGAGAGATGTTCACAGAATGAAGAAACCCTAGGCTGCTTTTGATTTTTTCCTTCCGTTAGTCAAATTTCATTAGACAATTTTGCTAGTCCTTCGGCCAGTCATGCAATTATAGTTCTGGCGAGATGATCTGACAGTGACGATTGATTCATCTTCCTCATTTCAGAATGGACTCAAGCAAATGGTCATCTTTACTTTCAATGGTTATTTATGAGTTTAAATTTTATAAAAACAATATTGGGCTCCCTTGCTACATTTAAAGTTTATTGCAAAATATTTTCAAAGAACAAAACATGAAAATGGGACAATATTATGAGCAACAAAATATTTCTATTTTGTTTTTAAAAAATATTATATTTATTTTGGTCAAGAGACAGTTTTGTTATTTATGAGCATAAACGTGGCAGCATATCCCCAGTATATTACTGGTNTGGTGAGATTGAAAAAAAAAAAAAAAAAAAAAAAAAAAAACTGGTGAGAAAGAGATAAATGAATATCACATTGATTGGTTCTACATAATACCGATACAAAACAAGATGGTGATATGATTCAATTAACGAGTCAATCATCTAGTAAATCATTCACTAATTATGGATTAAACGCTGCAATTTAACTAGAAAGTTTTATTTATCGAATCATGCCACATTACACTCATAAGCCGACATTAAACAAACAACACAAGAGAGACCTTATGAATCACACACGCTCTCATCACTCATATAACCCAAGAAAGCTGCTTTCGGATCTCCGACCCGACCCGACTAACGCTATCCCTAAGCGAAACCGGACAATTGTTCCTCACGGCGGTGAGCTCATAAGGAGAAGTATCGGTGGCTAGCCACTGCTCGATCTCGAAATTCTGTGTCGCGCACTGAGCGTGAACTCCAGCCGTCGAAACCTCGACGTAGTTAACGTACCATCCATGGTGATCACCGGAGCCATCGGAGGTTAGGTTTAGTGCGCAGATCGGACTAGGTAGACAAGGTGCTTTTCCACTGAAAATGTCGAGGTTACCCCTCTCGAAGTAGTTGTAGTCTGGACCCATCAGTCCACCCCAAGCCTCTAGGTTTTTGATGCCGATGTAGTCACCGTACTTGTCGTAGATTCTTGCGCTGACGATCGAGTCGGTTCCGGCTTTCCAGATGGACCCGGTTCGGAGGTAGAATGTGTAGACACAGTCCGGTTCATCTTCCTAATAAAATAAGCATAGAAAATATTAGACAAAAATTTCTTTTTAAAAAATATGGAAAATAGAGATCGATGAAGTTACGGCGAATGCGACGGCGGAGACGGTGGCGATGAGGAGGAGGAAAGGGAGGAGACGAGACATTGGTGATTGACTTTTTGTTGTTGTGTTTTCTTGTCTGTTTTTTCCCGGAAAGGATGTATTAATAGATGCGAATATTGAGGAGAAGGGTTATGTTTGGGAATTAATACGTAGGTTGTGATCCAGTGTTTCGCGGAGTAGCGTGGAGTGTTGACGTGGCGGACTGTTTACCGCTATGATGTGATAATTTTGGGTGGATGATTTGAGAAGCTTCTTTCGGACACGGCGTTTACTCGGCGAGGCGAGTCGGTATTGGTTAATAGATTACGTAACTACCCCTTATGCTGCTATATTGCCTACGTGTACACAGAGACCAAATAAGAAGTATATTCGTTTTTTCTTTATTTATGAGTCTATGATTATGGAAATTTTGACAATTCATCATCCAATTTTTATTTCTATAGTATTAATATTTAATTTTTACAAATATATTGGTTATATTTGCTGTCATATCTCCTATATATTAATTGAGAAACATTTGAAAAGATATAACCTCAAGTTTGTATTAATTAAAAAGTAACCTTGCTTAGTTGTCAATCAATTAGCATATCAATTAAACTGACGTGGCGGCTTTAGGTTCAATTGAAATTTGCTAGGGAAAAATAATTAGAGACGCATATAACGCATGTAACATAGTTTATATATATTTATATATATCGCACACATGTAATGGAAGAAAAGGAAAATATACGATTTGATAACGATTTGCATATATTAACTATAATAACTTCATTCCTTTTAATTTATGGAAGTGTATATGTAAAATGGAAAATACTTAAATTCAAATAATCATAATGTAATTTATAAATCATTGGTGTAAAGTTTTGTTACACAAATATGCAAATAATCATAAAATCATATGAGTAGAAACCTCATTTAATAAATATCCATATTAAAAGTGTGCTATATTACTATGTTTATATCATTTAAATTTAATTATATATCATATACAATATATAAGATTGATTATTTTGATTTATTTACCCTAATTGTGA